GAATTAACAAGTTGTAGGAATGAATAGCCTATCTGTCCTGTGTCCCACAGCCCTGCAAAGCGCAGAGATTTATCTGGGGAAATGACTTAGTTACTACATTCTATTGCTTTCCATGTTGAAGAACTTTGTGTTGTTTCTATTTTAATGTACTTTTAAAGTTTAAATCACATTAAAAGCTTAATTTGTACATTATGAATGAATGATGATGCATTTATATACCATCACCATCATTCACAGCCGCTCGCACGTGTTTGGCGCATGAGCCGCAAGCAGCCCAAAATTAAACAGCTTAATCGACCATCGATAGCTTTAATCGATTGCATCTCTTATTGACAATTAATCGATCATCGATTAATCGTTGACATCCCTAGTATGAATGTAAACAGTTATTAAGAGATTACAGAATGTAATATGCAATAGAACATGTTAATAGAATGCAAACAAGCTGGACAAAAAGTGTGAAGTATATATGCATTGGACCTTTTGGTATAAAAGCTAACTGTAATCTAGGGCTGCACGATATTGGAAAAAACTCACATTGCGATATTTTATTTTTCTGCGATATATATTGCGATATGAAAAAAAAAAATCACCACATGACTTGAATAGTTTATTTTGAAAAAAAAATGATGTTTTTGATGTTTAGTGATGATAATGATTGGGGTGATTTTGTAGGAGAGTAAATCAGCATGAAATAAACAAATTACAAGCATAGATAAATATAACAGAACGTTCACATGTCGCGCCTAAAAACGTGTGGGAAAACGCCAGTCGCGCCGCTTTCTCCTTCTTTCCAAAGCGCTCGGGAGCTTGCGCTTTTGTGGCATCTGCCGTTACTAAGCAACCGTGACCTGCGCTCTCCTCAACGACGCGGAAGTTTCAACAAAGGACAAATGGATTTCCAGCACTGAAAATCGCATGCAGTAGCTCTGCTACTAAATTTACCCTACATTTATTTAAAAATGGCTATCCCTGTACAGCTATGATGATGTGACTATCGCGGATGCGCACATCGCGATATCGATGCTGAAACGATATATCGTGCAGCCCTACTGTAAACCAAACAGCTTTGGTTTCTATTGACTTCTATTGTATGTAAAACAAATACAGTGGAAGTCAATGGGAAACAAAACTGTTTGGTTATCAACTTTCTTCGAAATATCTGATTTCATGTTTTACAAAAGAAAGTCAGTCATACGGGTTTGGAACATCATGAGGTTGAGTAAATGACCATTTTCATTTTTGGGTGAACAATCCCTTTTACTTCAAGCCAAGGTCGTGGGTTGAAGTTCCAGTGAATGCATCAACTGCCATGCAATGCATGGTTAAAAGCATCTCTGCCAAACACATAAATGTAAATGGTACCAAAAGGCCTTTGGAATACCATTGTCTTAATTTAATATGACATAATAGGGGTGCTCCAATTGATCGGCTACCGATGCATACTGATGACTTTAAATTTATATTTATTTTACATGTTTATATATTCATGTAAGAATTTGAAAATTAATAAGTATGGAAAAAAACAACAAACTTGTTTTAAAAAAATCTATCTGTAAAATAAACATTTTTAGATGGCAACTACTTGACTCTGAAATTATATTTTACCATTTTTCACAAATAAAGAAACTGTTATAAAAAGATATGTATAAAATGGCATAAAAACACTGTAACCAACTGTGCACTCAGTAATCTTGTAATCTGGTGTGCAAGATATCGCTAATTTCACATACAGCACACAGTGAATATGACATGAATATGGCAAACTGAAAAACTCAGCCTGGTTGATATATAGGTCGACCACTAATATGCGACAAACCATTGAATTACACATATATGAAAAGAAACTAGGAACTAGGTTAAACTAAATGGTGCTGGTGTTTCTTATTGGGAGTGTGATATCAAATGAGGAAGACTTACCACAATGTGCAAGGCATCCACTTGACCCGAACTTCATTTCTTCCCTTTTAAAATTAAATGAATATCAGAGTTAAGCATAATGTTGTTTTTTATTTTCAAAATGATTTAAAGGCTCATGGGATGATGCATAAATGCACTGCATTCCTACCTTATTGTTTCTCCATCTCAGAATATTTTCAACAGGAAACACACCATTGTATGCATCATGAGAACAATCTAGAGGAAAAACATCACTCAGAATTTTCAAATATAACAGGATGATCTGCACAACAATAACACTAATCCAATACTGAATCCAGTAACTTATTGTATGTTGATCAATGAACATTTTTCCATTTTTGTAATATTACCTGACATCTTCCGCTTTCTCGAAGGAGAGCGGAGTCCTGACTCATCGCTTGCACTGGCATGTTTTCCTTTATCGGTTACTTTTTCAGATTCATGCACAGCTGGTGACTCGGATCCATTTGCATCCTCACTAATCTGAATTTGGCATGAAGCAGTTGACATGACAGCATATACTTTCCTGACACTCGACTGTCCAACACTGGACTCCGACAGGGTTCCTGGCCTTGTGTCCAGGCTTTCTACTACGCTTTGGGGTGATAGTTGTGTCTCGCTGGTCTCAGGTACGTTCACCGCCGTGGATTCTGCACTGCGTTTGCTTGCAGATCCAGGACTTGTATCTGCTGCAGCCATACTCTTTGCTTCACTCAAAAGATCCTGTTTTGAAGAGTTATTTTGCAAGAGAGAGCTTTTTGAGGACAAAGCAGCCTCCAGCTGGGAGTCTGAGATTCTTTCGAGACGAACCTCGAACCTCTTAGCCTTAATATCCTTGGGAACAATAAGGTTGGTGTGGATCCGTTTGTGCACAGTTAACGCACACTGAGTGGCAAACATTTGCTCACACTGACTGCAGCTGAACTGAGGTTGAACTTCCTGTCTGTGTGCGGTGAGCCCCTGAAGGGTAGTGAACATCTGCCCACACCTGTTGCAATTCTGAGGCATTGGGCAATTGTGACTCTTGAACAGGAGGTCTGTTTTAAACCTTCTCTCACATTTACGACAGATATACACACTAGGGACCTGGTGCAGGGCTCTAGAGGGGCTAGACTGAAGGTCGCACTCATCCGATGAACAACACAGACAGTGCCTCTGCATGCTGAGGTGCTGTCGGTCTCGAAGTGCACGAGCAACACTAACATCATTAGCGTGTTTTTGCGTTTTGATTAATTTCCTTTTTTTCATCACCTTTGATTTTGGGTTATTTGTGATTATGTCCACACTTGTAGATGGTCCATATGCAACGATTTTAGATGTGGGCTGGGATATGGTCTTGCTTGATGATGATTTCCGCCCTCTCACTCGCGGCACATTGGCAGGACAAACTATTTTCGGTTTTACCACATGCTGTGTACATTTTGGCTCTTGGCACTTGGTCTTCTGGCTGTTTTCAGCAATAGCAGCAGTTGGACAGATTTTCTGAACCTTTTGGCCTAATTAATCAACACAAAAAAAAGCTAATTAGTATTGAAACAAAATTGAGTGAAAGCACATCATAACAAATGTATTTTACTCCAGCACAATAGCAGTGATGACAAAACACATTAGTACTATTTCTATACTATTGTAGTATGTTTTTCTTAATTTGAATTAGTTTTCATTTTAAGTTTTAACAATTTAGTTATGTGGTTTGCGATTTTTTATTAGTTTTAGTCTTTTATACATTTCTATTTAACTTTATTTCAGATTTAGTCATTTTAGTACTTCAACTTAAACATTTTTTTAAGTTTAAGATTTTCATCTAATATTTATATTTATTTCAGCTTCATTTCAATGAACAAAAATTATTTCAAACAGTTTTAATTAACAATAAAAAAACTGTTGTGTACCCCAGATTACGTGAGAATGCCACTGCAAAATGCTTTAAAAAATATAATTAAAATAACAATAAAGTGTCGCCACTTTAATTTTGTATCATCTTGATAATTCATATTGTCAGTGAGAACAAACTCAAGTAACTTAGAGATCACTTTACAGTTCTTCATATTTCCACTTTTTTTTTATATAATCTATTTTTTTTTTTTTAGTGGTACTTCCCTGTGATTTTTGTCTATTGCTGTTCATTATCATGAAAAATTATCTAAAAACATTAGTACCTGGTTTGCTTGACTGTGTTGTCTCTGGTTCTGAGACATTCTCTGCTCTTTCTTCAGGCCCCTGTAACACACAAAACATGGTGATTATTATTAACGAAAGAGCACAAATCATTCTACAGAATACAACACATTTTCAACAGAATGTCAGTAAAAAGACAGATTACTTATGTATTTTTGTGGTAAACAGCACAGAAATAATAACATTGATTCTATGCTGATTTGCACTGCACTGAAAACAAGTGAAAACAATGACCACAGAAAGCATGCCCACTCACCACAGCCACTGGCATGACAGTGTTTGAGCTCTGTACGTCAGACTGAGAAGTCACACGTGACACTTCCATCTCGTCATCTTCCCTTTTGAAGTCACTCCTCTGAGCCCTATTGATGGCCTCTGTCTTTTGCTGCTCACTTTCCTCTAACTGCTGCTTCAACAAGTCGATCTCCCTCCAGCTCTGGGTGATCTCCATTCTGGTCTCCAGCAGCACTTTGCTGAATATTTTGACTATCTCTGAGGTTGTCGTCATCATGAGCCCTTGAATCAGGACCCTGAACTTAGCCGATAAGGCATCCTCCACTTCCATTGTGCGCGGCTGGTGGTGGATTTCTTACACAGAAAAGGCAGACTTACTGCCAGCGTCCCACAGCCCTCCTACTGTGCAACTATACAGAGTCAAGATGAAAAATAGGCATCCCATTTCAGGTTACTTTTCAACAGAGGAGACATATTAAGATGTAGAAGCGAACATGTAAATTATCCGTTACAACTAAATTCTGCTTTTTAGTCAGAATCTCACGTTAGTTGATTATATTTTGAGATTGAATGTTTCTGTGATGTGCTGATTTTATGGTTATTTAACATTATCTGTCTGGCAACTTTATGACATTCTTGGAAGCATTGAAACAAATAATTTATGTTCTGCACAATATGCGTGTGTAATATGTTTGCATTCAGGGTTTTAATAAAGTACAACTATAAATGCCAGCTATTATTCCAAACATTTCATCATTAGTAGTAATTTTTTTGTAAATTCATGGATGTTCACACAGTTTAAAACAAAACGTTTGGGTAAAAAAAAAAAAAACCTGAAAAATCAAGCATTTATGTAAGTGAATAAATGACTTCATAATGTTTACTGATCATCATGTGGTCACCACATACAAGCAAAAAATCTTGTATGACATACATTCTTATGTAAAGACAAAATACTAGGGGTGCTCCGATTGATCGGCTACCGATCATTATCGGCCGATAATCACGTTGGGACGTTTGATCGGCGGTCTCTAAAAAGGCTGATCTCAAAAAAACGATCTCAAGCTGATGATGCACCTGCAGTGAGAGGTTTGGCACGACATGCAGTGGCACCGTCTCAGTCTCTGTCCGGCGCGGGTGAAATAATTATAATGCTGAAGGTGAGGTACAATTCATATTTCTTCATTAAATAACTTATAAAGTAATTTGAAAACTTTCTGTGAGACATTTCACAAACATCGTGAGTGAATCACCGCGCGTGCTCTCTCTTTCTCTCTCAAAATGCGCAAATGGCTTCAAATCACATTGCAACTGCACTATAAGCAAGCTGCACGCTGCACCGTTGACACAGGAATTGTCACTTGCACAATCGAGGCAGTGTCGCATAGTCACTAAAGTTTATAAATTGCATTTCTTTTTAATTCTTGCCGTCTTTAAACCATTCAGTGCCCGTGCGCTCTCCTGGAGACCATATGCTCATGCACACTCGCAGCGCACACACATAATGCCAGATTCACATTACTCTGTTTGCAGTATGTATGCGGTGCGTATTTTTTCATGTTAACGGATTAAAGTGTTCACTGCACACGGTTGCGGTCTGGCAGTGTGTTCCAGTAGCGGTGCGTCTGCAGCAGTGCAGAGATCGTTTCCGCTGCACGTGCTGAATTAAAGTGACAGCGCATTGTTTGCGGTAAATATGAACATGGATTGACACAAAAATGTAATAATTACACCATAAATGCATATAATTAAAGTTTCCTGTGTTTCACAGTCAACACATAGGCTATGGCTTTTTGATTTTAGATAAACAAGTCAAGAATAGATGGCACTCATGGAGGTAGGAAAACAAAGTTCTTTATGAACCAAGGGATAGCTTGCAATAAAGAAATAAATTCAAAAGAAAAGGCAGTAGAGCTGACAATGTAAGAAAGAATGGTGTGATAATAATGTAAGAAAACTAGTTTGAATATTTTGCCACTTGAGCAACTTAATACATAAATCTAGAAGTAAATGCAAAAGTAAAAAGCATTGAATAATGTGTTTCTTATATTTATTGCATTTAAAAACGTCTATTAAAAGATTGTATTACTGTACTGTGTAAAAAAAAAAAAAAAAAA